AAGATTACCTTCCCCTGATATACTCTTGCAACCTTCTCACTGATGCCTTAAATTTCAGTCTTGGAGGTTTATAACTTTGGCTTAAAGCCTTTCCCTCTGGCCTAAGCATGATCCTAAGTTCAGAACTACAGTACAAAAGCCTAGTCAACATTTTCCACCAGTTCTTCAAACCAACATATCCAAAAGTATTACCTTATTCTCCTCAGAATTCGCTCCTTCAGACCTTACCAGTTCTGCCAGTCGCTCCCCTATTCCCTCCAAATCCCACAGTAATTTTCCCTCCTCCACCTCCCTTGCCCTAACAGGCACTTGGCAGTCTGGTGCTGGCGTGTCCCTTCCCTGCCATTTCCATCTCTTCTGCTCATCCCCATTGTCACTGCCCTTTGTCTCATCATTCCTAGATTGCTGTAACAGAATCCAAATGGGCTCAGCCTCTGCCTGTCCCGTAGTAGGAAGACTAAACACAGTCTACAGCAGCAGGAAAGCAGGACAGAAGGAAGAAAGGAAGAGAGGGAGGAAAACAATACTGGAAATTTTTCAATAACTTGAAAATAAAATCAAAGGATGCATCATGAGAAAAATATAAAATCTACCTTGCTTAACAAATTCCATTCCTCAAACACAATCCTTATACACATATATTTCACACTTTTCCCCCAAATTTTCAGAAGATAGTCATGGATATTTCCTAGTAGTCTAGTCAGACGCTAGTCTATGAATCACTGTAATTAAAGAAAGCCTGTAAGAATCAATCTGAATGTAGTAACATAATGTATTGAACCTGAGATATTTTTTATCAAAAAATGTTCTCCAAGAATTACCAGCCTTTTAGAGGCCAGGGTGTCTTAAGAGGTTATAATACAAAGATTATTGTTTAATAATAATTTTACAGGTTCTGATTTAAATGTGCTCTCTGTATCACTGGATCCTTAGGTAAAACTTGAGGGAAAGGGAGTCTCAGCTCAGTATAAGAAAGACATCAACAACAATAGTGTCAGGAGTTTCCTGGTGGCCTAGTGGTTAGGATTCTGGGCTTTCACTGCCATGACCCAGGTTCAATCCCTGGTCAGGGAACTGAGATCCTGCAAGCCGTGTGGTGTGGCCAAAAAATAAAATAAAATACAAAAAAAAAAAACCCAAAACCCAAAACAACAACAATAGTGTCTACAACAGAATGGGCAGAATCAGAGGAAAGTAAGCTGGGGGGTGGGGGGCGGGGGTTGAGTATTTGTTAGGAAATTGTAGGACCGACTTAAACATGCATTAGTGGAGAAAACTAAAGGAACTCCTTGATCAATGGTTTCTCAAACTAGTCAGTCATCAGAAACACTTGAAGAGCATGTTACAGTTCAGATTCCTTGGCCTCACTCATAGAAATTCTAATTTAGCAGGTTTGAGATGGAGCCCTGGCACATATATTTTTACAGAAATCCTCAGAAGACTCTAACACAAAGCCAGCTTTGGGATCCACTACCCTATGTTGGTTTCTCAAACTGGAGAAACCATGATCTACCCCAAGTATGTCCATAGATTGCATCCCTCATCCTGGGATCCACAGACCTCATTTTAAGAAATATTGCACCTAATCACCCTGCATTTGTGATGTTATTTTGGCAGAATTATTTTATTCAGTTATAGAGCTAAACGTGTATGTTTTCCAGCCTAACACTCTTAGCTTTATTCTGTACAGCTGTATATATAGCTGGCCAAGCTGTGTGGCATGTGGGATCTCAGGTCTGTGACCAGATATTGAACCTGTGCCCCCTGCAGTGGAAGCATAGAGCCTTAACCACTGGACTGCCAGGGAAGTCCCAACACAGCTATATTCTTTATAGTGAACATATTCACTATATTTGTAACCCAAGCTCATAGTTGGAGAAACCAGTTTGAGAAACATTGTATTAGAAATTGTCTAAAGACCCTGAGATTTAACAATGCAGTAACTGGAGTTTCTGATTTGGGCTCAATTAATTCCTAAAGAAAGTTCTTAGGGGGAAAAAAAAAATGAGGACTGTGCGTGGGAGTACAGGTGGGGGGCAGGGAAGGGAGCAGGTAGCATATTAGTCCTTGAGGACAGAATCTGTGGCCTTTAAAAGCCCTTTCAGGGGCTTCCCTGGTGGCGCAGTGGTTGAGAGTCCATCTGCCGATGCAGGGGACACGGGTTCGTGCCCCGGTCCGGGAAGATCCCACACGCCGCGGAGCGGCTGGGACCGTGAGCCATGGCCGCTGAGCCTGCGCGTCCGGAGCCTGTGCTCCGCAACGGGAGAGGCCACAACAGTGAGAGGCCCGCGTACCGCAAAAAAAAAAAAAAGCCCTTTCACCAGGGCCTGGAGCAGGTCTGGCATAATAGGCAGTCAACAGATACTTAGGAAGGAAGGGAGGGAGGGAGATTATGTTTGTCATAACCAGATCATTTGCCTGTATTTGTGGCTTAGCAAGCCATATAAAAAAACCTACAAAAAGTCATTTTTGAGATAATCAAGGACATTTGAATAGGGTTTGAGTATTACATGTTATTAATTTATTGAAAATCTTATTAATATTAGTTTATTTTTTTTAGATGCTACTAATTTACTATGACTTTTGCTAGGTGCAATCATGGCACAGTGATTTATTAGCGATGTAAAAGGTCCTTTCCAAAAAAAAAAAAAAAGGTCCTTTCCAGTGAGAGATGTATACTGAAGAATTTATGAGTGAAATTTCAGGATGTCTCAAGCAATAGATGAAACAAAATTCACAAATCGTTGCTAATTGCTGAAGATGAGTGGTTTGTATTCAGGGGTTTGTTACAGCACACATTGTGCTAGTCTTTCTGTGTCCCTGTATGTAACAAAAGGTAAACATCCTCTTTCCTGAGAGAAACCGGTCTTCTTGTGCTAAGGCATGCATATGTAATGAATTAACTTTGCTCCTACGTAACCAGATCAAAGCATTTCTGCGTGGTCCCTGTGGTTCCTCCTCAAAGACTGAGAACATTTTAGAGAGAAGTAAAACCCGTAATCCAGAGGGAGTGCCCCGTTAGGAAGCAGGAAGGCACAGTCAGGGCTTACCTAATCTTTCTTTGCCTCAGCTCATGCACATGTGAAATGGGGATAATAATACCCACCTTATAAGTGGTTGAGATGAACTGCCTGCCCTTCTTGTTGTCCTGGACAATTGACTGTGCACTGTCTGAACATGGTGGCTTCTGCCCAAGGCCAAAACAGGGGAAGAGGGAAGAGGAAGCATCGGAAGCAATGGTTGTGGGCACACGCCTCTGGACACAGCCCACAAGGACCTGCTTTCCTATCCTGACCCCATGACCCTTAAGCTGTGTGATTTAGGGCAATGACTTAACCTCTCTTAACATCAACTGCTTCTCCCGTGAAACAGAGATGGTATTACCCAACATGCTGTTGGGAAGACTGAAGCATTGTAGGTAATGGGTCTGGTGGTCTGCATGGTATACAGCAGATGCTCCATAAGTTAGTGACATAGGCAGGAAAAGCCTCTCATGGCTGCTCTCCCACCATGGCCATTCAGACCTCACAGGATTCTTTGCAGCTTGGATTTTAGATGCTGATAACTGGTTTCTGTAAGGTGAGGTCAGGGCAGAGAAGACCCAGGGAAGGGTTGGTAGGCTGTTCAAAAGTCACCCTCCATAAGGGCTGATGGTGGGGTTTTAGGTGAGGGAGGTGAGAAGGAGAATGCTTGCAAGAGAGGCAAGGGGAATCCCTGGAGCAAATAGTGAGGGAAAGGAGGGTATGCTCCAAGGAACACACAGAGAACTGGCGTTACCTGTGAATATGAACATCTCCTATAAACGAGAAGAAAGTTAGATAGTGCTTATTATATGCCGGTGATTATTCAAGGTGCTTTATGTATGTTAATTCACGCAAAACTCTCAGCAACCTTTGAGGTATGTACTATTATCATCTCCATTTTACATGTGCGTGAACTGAGACAAAGAGCAGTTAAGTAACTTGCTTAAGGTCCCCCAGCTGGTAAGTGGTGGGGCTGGGTCACACCAGGTAGGCTTATTTTCATGTCCTTCCACCAAACCATGAAACTGTGATTGTGCGCCCCTGTGTTAGGATGTCACAAAAAGTCAGGGTTACCACATCTTGGTTGATCTTTCTTCCCCTGAAAATTGGGTCACCCTAACAGTCCCTGGTTTACTCAACCAGGGCACTTTCAGTATCCAGCACCTTTTTTCTTTTTTTTCCTCTTGGCTTGTCCATTGTCTGTTCTCAGATGGGATGTCCTCGCCATTCCCGTAGAGCAGTCAGGGTTCAATTAGAGGAAAAAACACCACCACTAGGAGTGATATATAACATTATAAGCACTAAATAATTTTGTGAGCTAAACAGCCTATGTATTGGGGTCTGAAGTCTCCAGGGCAGGTATTCTAGAAGTGAAGATGAAGATGGATATGAAGTGGGAGAGATCAAGGACAAACTGGAACACACAAGCATGAAGCTGGGACCAAAGGACAGACTGGAACTCACATATGTCTTTCAAAAAGCCTCCAAGTTCAAGGGAGTGGGTGTCCTACAGGAAAAGCCAGAGCCCTCCACTGTGGAATTAACCACACACCTCGCTCGGGAGTCAGAAGCTGAAGGAGGCTCCCACAGGGGAAGGGATTGGAGGGGCAGTGAGCTCAGTGGCTGCCCACACCAACGAGTTGAGACAGGAGCTTGGGCTGCGACGGTGCCTCACACCCCAAAGCAGTCTCCGGAGAAGGAATATGGCTACTGTTTCACTTCTGCCCTCCAAATTCCACCCCAGAATGTCTCTTGCGGCCCATGCCAACCTGAAACTGTGCAGGGAAGGGAATTTGGGGAAGCATAGTTCCAGTTTAACTAAATTGCTATAATGAGGGTCACGCTACTTTTGCCGGGGAAGCCCCATCATTCTTTCTCTGGCTGTCAAGCTGAGGGGAATAAAAATACCTCCTGCCCAGGCAATTTCCTCTTTCTAACATTTACTTTATGTTTTGTTTTAGAGCAAAAGAGGAGTTATTCCCTGCTACCAGCCTCTGCTCTGAACCCCTGGGTGTGTCATCTGCTTCTCTTCAGAACCACCGACACCCTCTGCCCTTGGGCCTCTTCTCTCCAAAAGTAGGTTGTTATCCTAATCAAAACAGTCACCAGTGGTTTGATGAGTTTGGGAAATGAAGCTAATTTTTTTAGGGTCTTAATTATATAATTGCTATGTTCCAAAAAAGAAAAAAAATATATATATTTAAGTCTCGGAAAGTGTCTTTTGAATATGCCATAATTATATGAGGTAACATAAACGACAGTGTAATATGATCTACCATACTGATCTCCAGGGTAGGTGTAGGCACAGAGTTGCTTTTATTTAAATATACTAACAATTAGAGGTAGCATAGCCTAGGTGAGTGGTTGTCACACTTTGGCCTGTGGCAGAATCCTCTGGAGGGCTGGTTAAAAGTCTGCTGGTTCCCATCGCCAGAATTTCTGGTTCAAAAGGTCTGGGGTTGGCTTCCCTGGTGGCCCAGTGGTTAAGAATCCATCTGCTAATGCAGGGGACACGGGTTCGAGCCCTGGTCCGGGAAGATCCCACATGCCGCGGACCAACTAAACCCGTGGGCCACAACTACTGGGCCTGCGCTCTAGAGCCCACGAGCCACAACTACTGAGCCTGTATGCCACAACTACTGAAGCCCACGCACCTAGAGCCCGTGCTCTGCAACAAGAGAAGCCACTGCAATGAGAAGCCCTCGCACTGCAACAAAGAGTAGCCCCCGCTCACTGCAGCTAGAGAAAGCCCGTGTGCAGCAACAAAGACTCAATGCGGCCAAAAAAAAAAAAAAAAAAAGGTCTGGGGTAGGGCCCAGGAACTTGCAGTTCTATTGAGTTTCCAGGTAATGATGGTGCTGCTGGTCTAGGGGCCACACTTTGAGAACCACTGGTCTTGTGGTTAAGATCACAGGCTTCTAGGCCAGACATCATGGGTTGGACTCCCAATTCACCATCTGTTTGCTGTGTGACCTTGAGCAAATTACTCAATATCTCCATGCCTCAGTTTCTTTATATGTGAAATGAGGATAATAATGACACTTACCTTTGGGGGTTATTGTGAGGTTTAAATAAATTAATCCACATAACGTATGGATACTTTATTTTTTTATTTTTTAATTTATTTATTTTTGGGTGTGTTGGGTCTTCATTGCTGTGTGCGGGCTTTCTCTAGTTGCGGCGAGTGGGGGCCACTCTTTGTTGCAGTGTGTGGACTTATTGCAGTGGCTTCTCTTGTTGCGGAGCACAGGCTCTAGGCAAGTGGGCTTCAGCAGTTGTGACATACGGGCTCAGTAGTTGTGGCTCGCTGGCTCTAGAGCGCAGGCTCAGTAGTTGCGGCATGCAGGCTTAGTTGCTCCACGGCGTGGGATCTTCCCGGACCAGGGCTCGAACTCGTGTCCCCTGCATTGGCAGGCAGATTCTTAACCACTGTGCCACCAGGGAAGTGTGTATGGATAATTTATGCATCTATAAAATACTTTTGTCCACATAAAATATGGATACGGCACACGGTAAATATCAAATATTTGCCATTATTTTAATTCAGAATGTTTTGTGAGTCAGTGATTACATAGCAAATGCATATTATAAAATATTCCAGATCCACATATCTTTTACACTCACAAAGGCTGAGTCTAGAAAAAATGGAGGTTTTAAATTTAATTTCTAAGTAATCGGTTGTGGAGTTCCCTGGCAGTCCAGTGGTTAAGACTCCGTGCTGCCAATGCAGGGGGCTCGGGCTCGATCCCTGGTCAGGGGAACTAAGATCCCACGTGCCACTGGGCCAAAAGATTTAAAAAAAAAAAGAAAAAGTAATCAGTTGTGAAATTGTTATGTCTCTTCCTACTTGTCCCTTAGTATTTCTCTAATGATCACGGAGCTTGGAAATACCCAGCAAATGCATTAGGAAAAAAGAGAAATATAGCAAATGCCAGTTCTTTTACAAAACATTATCATTTAAGGGAAAAGGTAGCATTATGGCAAAGTTTGAGTTCAATTTCCTAGTTGACCACAAGGTGGCAGCACCACACGGGATTTTGCAGAAGAGTGTATTGCTCAAAGTCGCCTCCCGCATACCCCCTGCACGAGGCTGCCCTCTTGGACTCTGAACTCCACTTCCTGGATCTCGGTCCCTTTCTTATCCTTGTTTAGGCTTTAGACCATCCGTGGACCGAGCCCCATTCCTGTTGGGGACTCGAGGGTCAATTCACGGATTAGAAAAACAGGGTTTCACTGCAAGACTAACCTGATTTGTAATTCGGAACAGCTCCCTGTGCGACTCTGAGCCTCAGTTCCCCCGGTGTAAACTAAGACAGTGGAATAGGGGCTCTCCGCGGTCATCAGCCCCGGGTTCCAAGTTCCGAATCAGGTTTGTAGGAGGTGTCCACAGCAGGCAAGTGGGTTCACAGTCCCCGGTGATTTCTGGCTGCAGGAATTCAGGACCCGCCACTGTGTGCCAGAGACCAGCACGACGCCCTCCGGAGCATCCTGTTTAGGGCCTAAGAAATGTAAAACGTTGTGTGCTATATTAAAGCAAACCAGGATGTATCAGGAGATTCCGTGGAAAGTCGTGTCAATTTTTAACGTAAAACGGATTACTTCAATGAGATTACATGCCTCAGAAGACTTTTTCAGGGACCACCTGTCCACTCTCTTCTGCCTTTAGGGTTACCTCGGTGAAGCCTGTCGCTTTGAGCAAGTGTTTTTGTTCAATTGACGCCTAAAGGGTTTTGTTGAACTGAAACTTCTTTTGGAGAAGGATGCTCTGGCGCCCTCTGGTGACTTATCCCAAGTAATGCGTCACTCGCCTTAAAACGCCTTGCTTTCAACTTCTTACACCAAATAATCCAGTTTTTGCCTTCTGAGTCCTATGTTAGCCTGCTTCTGGATTATTACTTTTACTGCTAACTCTATGAGCCACACCCCCGCCAAGTATGGTTATGAGATTCCGTGCTGGAAATATAGACTCCAGGCGAGCTTAGAGTGGAAGCACGAATAAACTAACGTGGCAGGAGTGCCAAGTCTTTGACGTTGGATCATTTCATAGGAAAAGAACATGCCTTAGGAGAGATGGTTGTCAGTCCCAGCGGGGAGAGGGAGTGTCTGTGACGAGCCTCATATTTTCTGTGCTTACGGTCCAGGTAGCTGGCTCTCTGGAATCCCCCTGCCCTTTCCTCTACCTCCCATCTCCTTGGCTCATGTGGTATGGCTTGGTGGCCACCCAGTTCCTCGCAGGCTGGCCCCTCTTGGGACTCTGACTCTATCCTAGTGCTCCTGGCTAGTGAGGGGCCAGATCCTGATCCTTGTGCCTGGAAATGTTGCTAGAAATACCGTATTTCTCCAGGGACCAACTGCATCAGGATCTCCTGGGATGCTGCTTACATCCAGACTCCTTGGGTCCAGCCCTGGACTTGCTGCATTAGAATCTCTGAAAGTAGAGATGAGAATTATGCATTTTAAACAAGATCCCTGGGTGATTGTTAGGGAAGCCAGGATTTAGAAATTGATTCATAGACGTGTGACTTCACAGACATGATGATGATCACGATACCCTCTGTCCACATAACAAGTGTCTGCGTTTCTGCTACCACATCCCCACCCCACCGCCAATATGACTGTGCACCTTCTTAGATCTGAGCATCAGCCAGGGTGCACAAGCATGAACCTCCTGGCTTCTGTCCCAGGAAGCACATCATAGAGTAAGTTTTCTATCTCTTTCCTGAACCCCTTTTTTCATCAATCAGGTTAGTGTTTCTGACCAAGACTCTTTGCTGAGCAAACTTAAATTATACCCCTAACATTAAAATGTCAAGGATTAAGAAGTCGATCCTCTATGTGGTACATATATACAATGGAATACTACTCAGCCATAAAAAAGGAACAAAATAATGCCATTTGCAGCAACATGGTTGCAACTAGAGATTATCATACTAAGTGAAGTCAGAAAGAGAAAGGCAAATACCATATGATGTCACTTATATGTGTAATCTAAAATATGGCACAAATGAACCTATCTATGAAACAAAAACAGACTCTCAGACATAGAGAACAGACTTGTGGTTGCCGAGGGGGAGGGGGAGAGGGAGCAGGATGGACTGGGAATTTGGGGTTAGTAGGTGCAAACTATTACATTTAGAATGGATAAACAACAAGGTCCTACTGTATAGCACAGGGAACTCTATTCAATATCCTGTAATGAACCGTAATGGAAAAGAATATGGAAAAAATACATATATATTGTTATATATATATAACTGAATCACTTTGCTGTACAGCAGAAATTAACACAACATTGTAAATCAACTATACTTCAACAAAATAAAGTTTAAAATAAATAAAAATAAAAGCTACCTACCAAAACAGTTGTGTGGTATTTTGGTAGCTTTGCTGAGGCACCTTTTGTCTATCTGTGTCTGTCTGTCTTTCTGTCTATGGAGGGCATGGCATGCCATTGTGCACTTGACATTAACAGGAATAACATGAAATTGAGCACCTGCTGTTTCTGTTAGACAGAAACTATGAGGTTCCGGGGCCTGAAACCCATCCTAGGGTTCAGGGACTCAGTGGTGGGAAGGACAGTGAAGTCCAATTTGTTGGCCAGGGCAGGAATCCCATCCCCTCACGCTCACTGAAGGGACATTGTCTTAGATGCCGACTTCTGCAGCTGCCTGCCCTTGGACCTATTTTCAGGTATACTTTTCACCCGAGTACCCAAGTCCTTCCTCACCCAGCAAGGCTCAGAAAAGAGGTGGTGAGCAAAATAGCCTAGGAGGTCACTAACACTGGTCACTAGTGCTATGAGTGCGGACACTCATCTCAGACTCTGAGCAGTGCTGTCCAACGTGGTAGCACAAGCCACATGTGGTCATTGAGCACTTGAAATGCGGCTCATGCAGAATGTGCTGCAAGTGTGAAAACATACACCAGACTCTGGACACACAGCAAGAATATAAAATATCTCCTTGACAGTTATAGATAGACAGATAGACACATGGATAGATAGATAGATGGCATGCGGAAATGATAATATTCTGGATATATTGGGTTAAATAAAATGTATTATTAAAATTAATTTTACTTATTTGTCATTTTCAAATTTGGCTACAAGGCAATTTAAAATTATATAACGTGGCTCGGACGCTACTGGTCTGGGCCCATGGTATTTATCTGATGATTTCCACTGTTTCTAATCTTTTGGAACTTAACCACTTCCCTAACATGACCTTTCTGGTTTCTCCTAGTTCTTTCCCTCCTGGACAGCCCTATTCTATTGCCCATGGAGCTGTGTGACACATGCCAGCTCTTGCTAAAAAGTCCTGCTGGAGTGCCCCAAGTTGCCCACTCCATTGCTACATGACTCTAGCTGTTAGAAGATTCTTTCTTATACATCAACCAAAATAGGCTTCCCTGAGACAGCTTTCTATGAGAATAAATGAGCCATGGTTAATAACCTGATAGCAACACATTTATGCCATTTATTTAGTCGATTCCCTATTTAGTTTGTTTTCAGGTTTCTAAAATGTGTATTATGATAATCATCCTTATGTTTAAATTTTTATACACATATTAAGTAATTTGGATAAATTCTAATATAATCTTTTAAGCTTTTGACTCTGTTCTGTATTACATGAACAACATTGGGTATTATAATTTTTAAGATCTTTGTAATTCTTATAAAATGGTAATTTTGTTAAAAATTTTACATTAAAATGGTTTAAAATAAGTTTAAAATGGTAATTTACTGTTTTATTTTGCTTTAGTGTTAGTATATTTTAACTTTGTTTATTTAGAACTTAATTTCATCTCAAGCTCCCTTTCTGTTGATGGTAGAAATTAAACAGAATTCAAATGCTAGTTCCTATGTGCATGTTTTCTTCTAGAGGTGATCTATGCATTTTCTACACAAATGTACCATATAATACACATTTTTCTATGCCTTTCATTTTCATATTTATTCTGTTTTTAAAAAAGAAAATCCTAGGCTGGCTTTTTAAAAATATTTAGTTGGCTGCACCAGGTCTTAGTTGTGCATGAGGGATCTTCGTTGCCATGTGCAAGATCTTCAAGGGCCTGGGGATCCAGTTCCCCGACCAGGGATCAAACCCGGGGCCCCTGCGTTGGGACTGTAGAGTCTTAACCACTGGACCGCCAGGGAAGTCCCTAGGCTGACTTTGTAAAAAGTCCTCCTTCACAAATGTCACTGATTACCTTAGCCTTGTAATAAACACAGGTATCCACTTTAAGGAGCAATTTAGTTTTTTTTTTTTCATTTCACCCTTCTTTCCTTTATTTCTACTTGTCTTTTCTTCAGATGGAAGAGTATGCAGTCAGATCCTGAGTGTCCCGGAACCCCCAGTGGACAAGTTTGCTCACCCCTGCATCTTGTGAGCTGGAAACGGTGGGCATGAAGGCCCTGGGCCAGGCTGCAGAATCTCTCCACTAAGACCTGCTGGTGGAGGCAACAGGTAAGAAATGACTGAATTCTTCTTCTTGTAAGAAGTCCCAGCCTCTCCTCCTCAACGACCCCAGGTTCATTCCTTTCATCTCTTTGTCTCAGTTTAACAATGCTTTACATATAACTGGCACTATATAAATACTTGTTGAATGAATGAATGAATAAATGTAAATATCAATGGGTGAATGCTAACCCTGGAAGTATCTGGTTAGGCTTGTTAAAGCAACACCGAAGATTTTCATCTATGTGAATGACTTACCATGAATGACCAGTGATAGGGTAGCACAAATACCATTGGGATATCATAAAATCATATATTGTTAGAGCTGGAAGGGGCCCTTGAGCTTTGCATGTCCCAAGGTTCCCAACTGATGAATACCATCAGAATCTAGCTGGCAGGTGTATTTATTTAGCTTGTATAGTCTTGCTGCTGATGTTGGTTTTCCCCTTGGAATTAGTTACCAATATATAAATACTGGAAGACTTCATAAAAAGTGTTTTAAACTGGAGTGTCTGGCACTGCTAGGTCCGTAGCTACACACAATACCCTGGGCTGAGCCGTTGCTGCCCTATTTTAGATGGGATGCGTTCTATTCATCGATGGAGCCCCCAGCTGCACACCGTGCACCTGACACACACACAGGACTTGTCCGGCCCTGGTAGAGGTTGCACTTGTGATGCCTAACCTAGTCCAATGCCAATGTAGATAAGGAAACTGAAGCCCACTGAATTTACCTCCCTAAACAGTTTGCTTGATTTTAGCCTCATCCCTGCACTATCTTCCATCTACTTCCAGAGTAAGCTCCGGAAAACACAAAATTGACTAGGTCACACCCCTGCTTAAAATCCTTTGCTGGCTCTACTAGATCTAAAGATCCCAATCTTCTTATCATGGATTATGAGACCTTTCAGTGGAAAGCCTGCTTTGCCAACTTTAACTCGGACAACTCTGACTCACCGGCCACACCAGGTATCTTCATGTTCCTCTACTCTGCCATGTCCTCTTGTGCCTCAGCGTCTCCATATCCGCTGTTCCCTTTTCCTAGAAGGCTTCTCCCTATCTGTTTATGTGTCTGACAATTTATTGATATTCAGTACTTAGCATAGGCACCTGTGATTCTCCCTGGTGAATCCTTCCACCCTCACTTCATCGTCTCTACCATGGGACACAGTTCACAGTCCTCTTTATAGCTCCTCCTGGAACAGTTTATTAAGACTTCCCCACTAGACTGTGTGCTCCTTGAGGAAAGGAACAACAGATCATTCATTTTTATCTTAATTATTTATCCCAGTGCTCAATAAATGTTGAATGAGTGAATGACAGCTTTGCTCCAGGTGACTTTGTGACATAGCTGTGAGGCACTATGGTCTTCCCCTGATTTCCTCCTGTAGCGTTATGACCAGGAGTCCTTTGCAAACAGAAGAGAGTGTAGGGACAAGCTTCACTCTTCCCATATTACCAGACTGTCTCAGGACCCTTAGTCAGGACCCTTAGTCTTCAGTGTTTGTTGATTTTATTCCTCCTCTTTCTTCTATACATATTGTATACCTCATCTTGGCTTCAGCTTCTCACTTAAAAAATTGACTCCCAGGGCTTCCCTGGTGGCGCAGTGGTTGAGAGTCCGCCTGCCAATGCAGGGGACACGGGTTCGTGCCCCGGTCCGGGAAGATCCCACATGCCGCGGAGCGGCTGCGCCCGTGAGCCACGGCCGCTGAACCTGCGCGTCCGGGGCCTGTGCTCCGCAACGGGAGAGGCCACAACAGTGAGAGGCCCGTGTATCACACACACACACACACACACACACACACAAAATGACTCCCAAACATCCATTTGACTCCAGATAATTAACACAAGCCAATCATGGAAATTCTATACTCCATGCTAGTGGGTTCATAAATGGTTTGCGGCCAAAACCTGGCCAGTGAGATGTGAGGAGAATCCTGCTGGATGGAAGATAGCTCTGAGACATTGT